TAATTATTTATTTTATTTTATTAGTTATTATAATTTTATTATTAATTATATTATTGAACATTCTTCTGTTTTAAATTAAAATTACGTTCCAATTTTTAATCATTAAATTATTATTAATTATTTATGTTTATGGTGTTAATATCTATTTGACGTTAATGCCTATTAATCAGAAATATTGTACATTGCATCGAGAATATTAAATTAGTTATATTCTTCTATAAGGAGCACTCGATAGAAAAAATTTCATAAGAGCAATGATCCCGCAATTAAAGTCGATGACGATAGATCTAAGGGTGAAAGAGAGGGTGCTGATGGCCGAAGGAATCCAATTGCATTACGAAACTGTGCGTTGGAGAATATAGTAGGTCGCCACCCTAATCCTTACGGGCTGCTATATACTAGGTGGCGGGGCACGTGGTATTTTCCGAGCTCGCTTCAGTCATACATCACCGTACTCTGACATCGCCCCGCTTTTCTCCCAATCCGTAGACGAAACTCACGCCTTACCAGGACGACGGATGCTGGGCGCATTGTTTCGACCAGCGTCATCCATGATTATCACGGCTTTAACCCCTAAAGGAGCAACCCTTTTACCGTTTGTACCATTATCCGTGCATTGATATACTTCTGGAATCCGGGTATTATAACTACTTGTATTTCCAATTATATTAGAGCGGCATTTAATAAAACTCGTTTGTAAACGCTGATCTTCAATTTTAATATACTTGCTTTAAAATGAATTTGATATATTATATACACATAAACGTGTATTGATTAAATTTAAAAATCAAATTTTATCTGTTTTATAATCTTCAATTTTTTTATTTACAAAATATAATTATTTCCTGGGCCATAACACATACATATGTTATATTTTTAAATATTGATGATTATTGTGTAATCATCGCGATCGTGAAAATCTATCCTTATAAGAAAATTTTAGTAAGAGACCCCCCATCGAATGATCCTCTCGAAATTCAAAGGATGTTTTCGATGATTAACGCGTTATCGAAATGAAGTAATTTATAGGAGTGACAGCGAAGATACTTGAGGACGAAATTAGAACTGTCATCTTCTGCTACATCACGTCTAGACTATCATGATGACAGTGAAAGGGATGTCGCGTCTCTAATCGATTTTATTAGATTCTACGAATGAAATGATTCCTTGGCCTCACAGCACGCGGTCTTTATCTAGTTGATTAGGATTAATCCGATTCCGATTCATTATATCGACATAATACTCATCATCCATATCCCATTCAATAAATGTTATTGTAGTTATAGGATGACATAAACTTTATTATTCTATCTCTATGTTTTATAAATTATCTTTATTATCAAATAACCTTTTCGTAATAAGAATGTGTAATTCTAAGATCTCGTAAGAATAGTCTTTTATAATTTCAAACTAAGTATTTGAAGGCTCAGAGAATTAAAATTTAAATAAGAAACAATACGAGGTAATGGCTACATTCAGCAGAAAAAACAGCTTTATAACTATTGCAAAATTCTTTAATATGATTGGTCTTGCCCTTAGTTACTTCCTGGATATAAATGTATAAATCAATCATATTGAAGAATTTTACAACAATTGCAAAGTTGTTTTCTGTGCTGAACGCAGCCAATAATTTAAACACGATAACAGTGCACATTATAATTACTGTATTGACAAATTCAAATACAAAATCGAATTTGTTTCGGTTCACACTGAACCATCCTCCAGTGGTAAAAATTTGCAAAAATTTAGGATATACGTAGTCGCACTTTGATAAAAGTTTTTAAAAACTTGTCCTCCAGTAAAAAAAGTTTTACAATTTAATTTTTATAATTTAATTCCATCTATCGCTTTTGTTATCTTGTAACTGACTATATGTCTATACTGGTTTAGTTAATTATCGCAAGAAACTGAAGAATGTGACAGTATGACACAGCGAGCCAAAAACAATGATGTGGATGTGCTGTAATTTACAATGAGGATTGCTACGGACGATTGTACGGCAAGAGCGTCTCTGGCAGGTCAAAGGACGAAGATTCCTTCATCCACTTTCTGTGGTATGATACTCGGTGGTGGTTGCGCGCCTCGGTTAACACTCGGCGAACTGAAATAGCGAGCCAGCCGACCGCGAATATCCTTGATTAAACGCAAAAAAGCCTGGAGACCTACCTCGCTCGCCTTGCGCCCCGGTCGTGGCTACGTTTTTTCGCCACCCTCCGCCATCACGACAGTCGGGCTTGAGCACGGAATTGGATTGGCCGCCTTTTCTCTCGCTCGTATCCCACCCCTGGACTACGTCTCTTTCTCGCTCTCACATCAGACTCTCGACGGAAGAACACCGGCGGTTTCAGGACTGGGGGGACTCGATTAGAGCAGCTTGTGACGGCCAGAAGTACCTGGGCACGTCCGTTCTCCAACCCTCGTTCCCTCTACCTAAATTGTTGTACACTGTCCAGAGTAATCTCTCGTGATAAGAGGTACACTAGCTCGTTCGAGGATCTTGAATGTGTACATCTTTAATCAAGTGCTTCCGCGCTTTAACCGAGTTTTGCTCATTGTGCGTGATGCACGGCTTTGAGAAAATGCTTAGATCCGCAGAGTAAAACATGTTTCACGACAGATAGATTTGTCCGATAGATTTGTCTTTCGTTGTGCTTTGAGAAGTTTATTCAGATACAATTATAAAATTGTTGATTGCATAATGCGAAACGGTACTTATATTTCTATGGTAATTCTTTATACTTTTTAGCTTCATGACTTTTCTTTAACGTTTTTCTTGAATATTTTTCTTCTCTAACTATTGTAAATGACACGGTAGATATATATTTTTTGTAATGTATAAAGAATATTGATGTCTCTTTTTCTTTTTGCCATTATAATTTACAGCTTCAAATTTACGTGTACACTGAAGAGTTTCATCCCAAATTCTATGAGCTTTGCGAAAGAAATTTATGCGCGTTCACATATGCAGTTAATAATATACAGTATACAGTTTTATAAATTTAAATGCGTACCACTCATGACGAATGAACGGTGGAATGGTAATGTTCACACAAAAATATTCAAGAACCGCGACGAGACGCCGCGCCCATACGGCATTTTTTTTTCGCCGTACTGGAAGGAGGAATGCAAACAATGAAGTAGTTTTCTTGACTTTTCCAGAGGTTTCGTACAGTACGAGAGCCACACATGTAGTATATGCATTTTCTAGCGGTTTGTAACCGCATTTTGGTAACCGCAATAGTCCATTATGTCATTCCAAAGTATCATTGAATTTTCATGAAGCGCAGTACATAAAACGTAAATAAAGGAAAATATACCTAAATTGCGTCAAAGCGTCTATTTTAGCGAAAAAAACATCGAGCCACTTTCGTCTGAGAATCGACTGGCGAGACCATTCCGCTTAAAGCCACCCTCCGTAAGTACAGAGAGACAAGAGAGAAGACGAAGTGGGTGGTACGGTGTCGCAGAAACGGCCTGGAGATTAGCGTTAATTACAGAGTTGAGCCTTGCCGGGGTTGGGACGGGGCTCTAGATATTTGTCACTCGGCACTGCTCTCGACTCCCGCTTCTCGTTCTGAATATTAATAACCCCGCCGTTCTTCGCCACCCCCGCGTCCTTCACTCCCGCGACATCCGATGAATTGCGCGGCAGACAACGCTACTCATTATGCTGACTGCTTGATTTCATCATCCTCGACGGTACGAAAAATTAATCGCCCCGCTATCGAGATCAGGAATAAAGAATCCCGTCGGGTATTAATGGCGCCTGATGATCGATGCGGACCATAAAGAATACACTTCATTAATATGTTAACGAACCCAACACTTTTGTCCACGAAATCTTCAGAGATTAGATCGTATCGGCGATCCACAAATTCTATATATAATCAGTATGATTAAACACCTCTGAATTATAATAATAACATGAAGATATACTTTATTCAAAAATAAATTAAATGTGTGACATATTTTAATTTTCCAATTTTCATCGCTTAAAGAAATATTGACACAGATTGTGTAAAATAATATTGAAATATCGGCCAGAAGAATCTCACATGTTGCATAATGCATTAACGCACAACCAGCGAGTTATTGAAGTTATCAATCTCTTCCAATTGTGCCAGAAAATTCCAAACATTATTGGATTGAAGCAAACAGCATATTGTCTTTCCTTTTTCTCTCTTAAAAATAACCATTTTCCAAAAATTGAAGGATCACACTTTCAAATACGATATTCCCTTCTCTCACGAGCGATGTCGATCAATCGATATCACCCATTCCCGTCCTTTCTGTGGTCGGTCCCTCGATGGTGGTCCCATTCCCGCGCAAAACGCTCAGATATTCAAAGTCGGGGAATAGTTTATTCATGGCCGGCTCTGAGAACTTAGAAAGATATTGGAAGCGCCCCAGGAGAGAGAGTAAAAGATGGAAAGAGAGAGGAGAGAGAGGAGAGAGAGAGAGAGAGAGAGAGAGAGAGAGAGAGAGAGAGAGAGAGAGAGAGGGGGATAAAGAGATAAGAGAGTGGAGGAGGAACGGGGGGGGGCAGGGGGGCCGGGAGCGAGAAGGCCCGAGCGACGAAGGAAGAGGAGCGATATTGGTCGGACGGAAGTGTCCCCTCGGGAAAACGGGAGGAGCGTCGTCTCGTCCCCGATCCGATAAAACGAAAAAGGAACCCCCCTGCGGCATCGCCGCCGCCACTCTCCTACGTCCACGTGA